GGGGAGGCACCATGCCTGTCTTTGGCCACCTCTCAACTAGCACATTTCCTGACAGAGAGTACTTTGCTCAAGTACTAGTTACTAAATAGATGTATGGTGTATTTCTGTCTCCAGTGAGCAAGGTGAGGAGGAACATCTGGTTGAGAGGATGAGGAGCTCTGGATATTGGTTTCCTACCCCTCTTTCAGTAGCTTAGCAAAATGTTAGTTCAGTAGCTGGATGGAAGAACAAGCTAACAGCAGTGGCTGAGCTCTTTGGAGGCCCCCCGTTCTGACGAGGTTACTTCCTCATCCAGGAAGCACCAGGTGTTATGCAGTTGCCTAGACACTCCCATTCTCACTTCCCCTTCCCACAAATATGTGGAGTATTTGTGGGAGGTAGAGCCCCTTTCGACTGAAAAGCTTGCCAGAGGATCACTGCACTCTGCTACTCCTCCATTTGTAACTTTTTCCACAATATGACGTGTGCTTCTACTGGTTTTACGTGTGTGTGTGTGTGTGTGTGTATGTGTATGCATGCGCACACACATGTGTACACATTTTGTACAAAAGTGGAAAATATGATGCACTGTTTTGTATATCTTGTGGGATATTCAGGTAGAAATATCCAATGCACAGTTATGCAGCAGGGTTGACCGTTTACCATCAAGAATGGAGACAAAAACTCAGAGAAAGGGCGCCTAGCTCAGCCTGGGACTCATGGACAGTTCCTGGAAGAGAGGAGACTTGCAATGGGTTTTCAAGAGTGGAGTTTCCTTTATGAACAATGTGTGGGAAAAGGAAACTTTCCAGGAAGAGAACTTGGCCTTGGTCATGTAGGAGGAGCGGGCACACATAAGGGGCTCCAGTTAAGCTCTGTACCCTAGAGGTCACCTTTCTAAGGACAGCTGTCACCAGAAATCTCATTTCATCCTAATTTTCTGCCACCTTCTCCTTGGCCCATGATAATCATGAGTTTCCTCAACTGATCTTTCAAGGAGCTCATCCTAAACTAAACCTGATAAGGAGGGAGAATGGGAAAACTTTATTAATGAACAAGAAATTCATTAATTTCTTTTCAAAAAGGTATATTTGTTGCCTAAAGCCACCTTCAGGTGTTAGCAAAAGTACAGAAGTCCTGGTCTAGAAGATGATCTAACCCTCTATCTTCCTTTATGGTGTGGGAGGCATGAAGCTGAAAAAGAGATAGGGCCAAGACACTATAGGGTCTGGATGGTGCTCTCGGAGTAAAGAAAAAAGCAAAGCATTTTCTGGAGACTAGAAGAGAAGCTGGGTTTGAAGATGACTAAAGTGAACTGTGATGGAAGTTGAAATTGTGAGACGTGACAGAGAAGTCACTGATCTGGGGATGAAGTAGAAGCAAATCCTGCCCCAGGCTCCACCACCCTCAGCCCCACACTGCAGGCAAAGGCCGTTGCTCCTCCTCTCCACTCCTTTCTCTTGCAGACACGACAGGCTGGACTAAACCAGAAACCAAAACTCTCAAGTCAATCCCCAATACTTTGTGATTTCCTAGACTTTAAGACATTCTGAGACTCATTTTAACTCTACAAAATCCTTATAACAAGAGTGCTGGGTTATGCAAAATTAATATCCAAAATGGTTCCCCCCTTTGGGAAACACATATCAAGAAGGTCATACTTGAGAACATTTTGAAAAAGTCCAAACCATTTTGAAGAACCTAGAAATTATTTCTTTGAAAAAGGCAGATGTTTACCTGGCTCTGAATCCCCCTGGAAGGTGCTAATTTCTGAGGCCTCCAAGGGTAACAATGGGGAGGAGAAAAGTCCCCTGGTGAAAATGATGTCAGCTGAGTTGTTTGTCTCTTTATCTATCTGTCCTTTATAAGCTATCCTCTGTTTGGGGGCCACTGGGCCAGTGTGACTGTCCTTCCTCTTTGCCCAAGAAGTTTCTGTCCCCTTTACTGGGTGAGTGCCATCCCAACAACCCTCCTGCATTCTCACAACTTAGTTTCCATACAAGTTTACCCTCTGGGCCCTGGTATAGCTTTTCTCACTTAGTTTTCATACAAGTGAAGTTTACCCTCTGGGCCCTGGTATAGCTTTTCTCACTTAGTTTTCATACAAGTGAAGTTTACCCTCTGGGCCCTGGTATAGCTTTTCTCACTTAGTTTTCATACAAGTGAAGTTTACCCTCTGGGCCCTGGTATAGCTTTTCTCACTTAGTTTTCATACAAGTGAAGTTTACCCTCTGGGCCCTGGTATAGCTTTTCTCACTTCCCCCAAAGGGCCAATGGGACTTGGGTGTTTGAATGTGAAGGGTTAGAGTATAGAAGGCATCAGTGATGAGTAAGCTTTTGAGCCACACCAACTGGAAGGATGGCAAGATTATTACCAAAGTAGCTAAATCAAGAGCACATTGAGATTGAAGAAGGGCAGTTCAGATTTGGAGATTGAGTTTGAGGTTATGGTAAGAACATGTCCATGCAGAAAAAGCCAGACCATGAGATGCTGGTTGATCTGTTGTGGACCTGAAGACATTTATTCATCATTTACTCATCAGGAAATGTCTTCCTGTGCTCTTGTCTTTTGCCCTGTGGGGATCTACAACTCCAGTCTCTTCCCAGATGAGTTAGACTCCATGTGATTTAAATATCTATCCCTTAGCCAGAGGTTGAGTTGAATCACTGTGTGTTTTATTAACATGACCACTTTGGGGCTGTGGAGAGCAAAGCATTATCTAAGTGAGTGTGTACATGGCCATTTTCTGGCACTGTAACAGGTGTTGGCTTTTCTCGTCAGCAGGCCCATCATAGTATGTATGTTAAATGTTGTGTAATTAGAGCCAAGAGACAGAAGAGTTAAAAGCTCAGGAGTGGTGGAATTGGTGGCAGAGAGGAATTCAGGATCTGGACACCTGCTTACCAAGAATCTAGCTGTGTGAGAGAGTTCAACTGGGTACCCACTGAGGCAGCTCTACTGGGGATGCACTGAGCTCACCTGAGAGCATAAGCCTAGAAATTCTCTCCCTGTTCAGAAGCTCTTTTTACATTTTTCTTATTCAGTAAAAGGCCACTTCTTTGGAGCCCAAATTTCCCAGACTCTAGATGGAGAAATGCAATATAATCTTTTTAGAAAATCTAAAAAGCTGGTGGTCATCAGCAATGGAGCTGGAAATATCCTCAACAATGTCACCTCATTTAGTTTCACTGGTTTTTATTTCACTTCACTTTTTTCTGAAATGTCCAACCAAAGCCTCGTGGCTTACAAGTTAATCTTTTAATAGTCTGGGTCATGGCAGGCACCTCACCACTGCTGTTCTGTATGATGACACATGTATGTGGAGGCCGCAGGGACACAGGTTGAGGGAAGCATACTTTTCCCCTTCTTCTGAAGCTTCCCTTTCATCCTTTGGGATCTTGTGTATCAATTTCGTGGCCATGCCACCATCTGCCGACTTGTGGTTTCCTCCCTGGAACATTGGCCTCATGAAAATAATCTTTCTCTTTAACCTCCCAATGTAACATTTGCTCCCCTTTTTATGACAATTCATTTATGTCTGAGTCTGCCCAATACCACTGTTCTTACTCATCAAGAGTTAGATTTATCAAGTCTTGTCTTAGTGTGTCTACGTCTTTAACTGTATTCCTTTTAAATTTCATGTGTCATTCCATCCTGGCCCTTTAAACATTGCTATCAAGACGTCATTGATGGTTATTATCAAAATCTCATTCTCCTTTTGCCAACATCTGCCCTGTCTGACGTTGCTGGTGGAAGACATCCATGGATCCGGGAGCCTCGGGAAATGATTCTGTTGTGACTAGGTTTGTTCTCCTGGGCCTAACAGACGCTCCAGCTCTACAGCCCTTCCTCTTTGTCATCTTCCTTCTTGCTTATGTAGCTACCATTGGAGGCAATCTCAGCATCCTGGCTGCCATCCTTATTGAACCCAAACTCCACACTCCCATGTACTTCTTCTTGGGAAACTTGTCCCTCTTGGATGTTGGGTGTGTCAGTGTCACTGTCCCTGCTATGTTGAGGCATTTTATAACCCATGACAGAACCATTCCTTACAGGGCCTGCCTCTCCCAGCTATTCTTCTTCCACCTCTTGGCTGGTACAGACTGCTTCTTGCTGACTGTCATGGCCTATGACCGCTACCTAGCCATCTGCCATCCCCTCACCTACAGCACCCGCATGGCCTGGGGAATCCAGCAAGCCCTGGTGGCCATGTCATGTGTCTTTTCCTTCAGCAATGCACTGACCCAAACTGTTGCTCTGTCTACTCTTAAATTCTGTGGCCCCAACGTGATCAATCACTTCTACTGTGACCTCCCACAGCTCTTTCAGCTCTCCTGCTCCAGCACCCAACTCAATGAGCAGTTGCTCTTTGTAGCAGCAGCCTTTATGGGTGTGGCCCCTTTGGTTCTCATCACTGTATCCTATGCCCATGTGGCAGCCGCGGTTCTGCGAATCCGCTCCGCAGAGGGCAGAAAAAAAGCCTTCTCCACATGTGGCTCCCACCTCACTGTGGTGGGCATCTTCTACGGGACAGGTGTCTTCAGCTACATGAGGCTGGGTTCAGTGGAGTCTTCAGACAAGGACAAAGGGATTGGCATCCTCAACACTGTCATCAGCCCCATGCTGAACCCACTCATCTACAGCCTTAGGAACCCTGATGTGCAGGGTGCCCTCCAGAGGGTGCTTACTGGGAGGCGGTCCTCCAAGTGACACTACCTCCCTCCTGTCTTAAAGAAATGTCATGGCTCTGCTTGCTGCTTCTAAGAGGTATTATAATTAGTGCGAATGGAGTGTAGGTATGATGAGTGGGGGTGAGGGATGGACTGAGGAAGGAAAGTATGTAAGAATAATAACAGCCACTGCTGATATCATGATTACTACCTTCCAGGCACTGTTCTAAGTGACTGGTGTCTATTAGCTCATTTAATCCTCACAACCTTGTGAGACAGACACAGATTTACAAATGGTAGATTATACTCTGGTTTCTCTTCAAATCACATAAATCTTTCACCTTTTATAAATGGTAGATTAGAAAACCACATCTCAGAGAGGCTAAGTGACTAGCCCAAAGGCACATAGCTAATGAATGTCAGAGCTGGCATTTGAACATAGGCAAGCTATGTCTGTAGCAGTTACACCCCAAGAGTCATACATCATTTTAAGGAGGAAGTGTCTCTATAAAGTGGAGAGGGCAAATGGGCAACAAAGAGTTAAAAAAAAAAAAAAGCAAAGGAATATCAGCGTGATGTGAAAAAAATTATTTAAATAAACTGGAAATACAAATTGAGGAAGTTTTGCTGCTTTTATAAATTTATAGTTTTCTCCAGGGCAACAGGTTGAAGAAATCACTGGATGCCATTCTCAACATATAAAACAACAGAAAGAGGACAGATGTTAAAACCCAATGCTGAGGGAATAGGCACTGTTTAGAAAAAACACAGAGATGAGGCAGGATATTTTCATATTGGATCAACAACAACAGAAAATATATGTAATAAAGTTAATTAGAGAAAGATGTTTGGTGTATATTGAAAAGTCTCCTTGGCTGAATGGAGATCTTTGCTCCCACTGTCTTTAAACTGAAATCATCTCTCCCTCTTCATTGCTGTAAGGAGAAAAACACTTCATTTATTCAACGTAGAGCTTTAAACAGCTTTTTTCTATAACACAATAAAAAGGCATGCTTAAAAAAAACCATGCTTATTAAAATGTTAGGAAGTTCAAAAAGAATAAAACTCATGCTTTAGAGACTATTGTTGTTCATTGTGGCTATTTAGTGCATAATTGTTAAAAGTTTTTCATTCATAATATATATTTACGAAAATAGAATCATGCTATATCTAAAGCTCTGTGATCTATTTTTTTTTACTTAATAATGTAAAAAAAAGGCGTCTTTTTATGACATTAAATGTAGATCTTTCTCATCTTGTTCTATGAATTGTATTTCTTTGAAAGGACATAACAAATGTATTTTAACAACCCCCTACTAATAAGCCTGTGTTGGTTCAAATAATCTGGGTTGTGGGAGATGCTATAGTGAGTATCCTTGTATGTCCATCCATGCACATTCTTCTAATCACTAAAGATAAACCGCCCCCCATGAGTGAAGTTCCTGGGTCAAAGGATATGAACTTTCCCAAGGCACTTGAAAACATGCCAAATTGCCACTCAGAAAAAGTTGAAAAAATTGACACTCCCGTACCATTAATTGCTTATATCTTTGCCAATATGATAGACCAAATATTATAATTCAGTTCTCCTTTAAATTTGAATTAATGCCAGTGAAGTTACATATACATATTTAAATGTAGTGCTGAAAAGAATATTTTCTATAAATCTATGTGCATTTCTAAGATGTTTGTCTTTTGGAAGTGCTTAATTATTAGTAATATGCATTCTTTGTTTCATGAATATTATAAATGTGATGCTCTAATTTGCCATAGAGAAATTTTAAATTTAAACATAGTAAAATTACTCCATCTTTTCTTCTGTAAAGTTTTGGTATCTTGTGTAGAAAGAACAGTTTCACTTTAGAATGGACAGATTCATTGATTCTTTCCCCACGGATATGAAATTACACCTTTGCCACACGTTGAGTATTCTCATAGTCCTGGCTCTGTTGCGAGAATCCTTTCCGGCACTGTATTTCTCAATTACAGTAATATTGCAATGCAAATGAACATGTAATTGTTAAGAACTTTATCCTTCTTTCCCTGCGTTGGCACATTGCAACCTTATCTACAGCTTATCCTACAGCTACTTACTCTCATGCTATTGTAATATACATTAATTTTTGAAATCCATTTGTAAAATTCTACAAATATGGAATAGTGTCAATGAAAACATTTAGAAAAGAATTGACACCTTTGAATCATTGGTATTCTCATTCTGGAACAAGGTATATCTCTTCAGTTGCTTATGCCTTCTTTCATAGTATAAAAGATTTTTACAAAAACTAACAAAACTTTAAGATCATGGGTAAGGTGTGGGCTGCAGCATAATGCCATGAGGGCAAGGATGAGAGGTGTGAGACAGAGCCCACCTTCTCAAACTTCCTCAGGCAGGGAAGGGGGTGTGGGAGCACATAATATCCCTTCCTCAGCAAGAGCTCCAGGGCACTGCTCCCCTTTTGGAGGCCAAAATAGGCACTTAGGGAGAAGCAACCTAACTCCTACCTTTCCCCACTTAGTAAGTTCCCCAAAACAGCACACGTAAAAAGCACGACTCTTAGTGGAACATTTATTGAGAAGAATCTACTGATTTCTTACTTTGAGGGCATTAATTTTCCTCTCAGGAAATGCAAGGGAAGCATTTTCTAAATCACAGAGACCCAGTGTATCCAGCAGTGCCAGGGGCAGTCAGAGGGACCTGGCCAATTTGACACTTGCGAGGGCAGCAGAAGTCTTGGATGGGGCACAGGCTTGCAGTGAGGCATGGATAAGGAATGCTCCTGACACAGTTGGGGACTGCCCCTTTTCAGAGAATCTTCTTGCCCCTTCTGTTTTATTCTATATTTAGAAAGCCACTGCCAACACCGAATCATTCCCAGTTTCTGATCCGATGTTGAGGAAGCTTTCCCTACAGTGACAGGGTTGGGGAAGATGTGCTCTCAAGTGCCTCCTTCAATGTCTTGACTACGGCACTGTGATGGGGGTGCAAAACGTCTGCCTCATGTTCAACTGTCAGAACGTTGTCTTTAGTTCATGGTTGGTAAAAGAGAGTGATTGTCTGAAGGCTCCCTTTCCTCCCTTTGCCCACAGGTGAGGAGGCAGGAGGGAATAATCCAGGCTGCGAACTGAACTTTTTTTTTCTGCAATAGCCTTTTTTTTTTTTTTTTTTTTTTTTTTTTTAAATCCAATTGTTCTTTAGAGACCAGCTTTAGAGCTTCTTCCGGGGAGGGGTGTGTGAGTGCTTGCAGCTCCTTGGTTCACAAAGGAAGAGAAACTGCTGAGCCATGCATGCTTCTTGGGAATTAATACTAACATTCTCCCTGAAGAATCTACTGTATTTTGCTGTGGATGATGTGCTCCCCTGTATAATGGGCACATATGGTTTTGCCTCAAACTTTCAGGAAAATGCCTCTCAAGAAAATGGTTGGCTGCTGGCTGAGAGACACACACTTGGGGAGTGCTAACACTCCCCTAGTAAATATGCAGATCATACACCTCCCTTCCACAGCCGCCCACTCTGTGAAAGCTGCCCCTTCCCTCCCTCCTGTGAGCCTTCCCTCCCTGCCACATCAGGGCTGCAGATGAGATGACCACACTTGTGCCCATGGGTAGGGAGCTTCTGAGCCCACTCGGCCCATAAACAGCCATATGAATCCCCAGGCCCTGCATGGGACTCCTTCACCCCATGCAGTGACAGCCCACTAGCGCCAGTCCCACCACCACCCCCTCCCAAACGTGGCATTCTGCAAAGGCTGCTTCACCCTGCTCCCACCAGATCCTGTGTCCTCATGGGCTGGAGTCCCATGCATCCACTGGGCACAGGCAGGAGGATACAGCAGCTCCAGGAGTCCCACTGGGCTCCCCCACTCCAGAGCTGTACTCCCCATGTATAATGCACATCCTTATTTTTCCCTAAAAAATTTGGGCAAAAATAATTCACATTATGGGCAGCACTGGTAGCTCAAAGGAGTAGGGCACTGGCCCCATATACCAGAGGTGGCGGGTTCAAACCTGGCCCCAGCCAAAAATTGCAAAAAGATTTTTAAAAAAATTCACATTATACACAGCAAAATACAGTAGTAGGTAGTCTGGCCTAGGTTGCTTTGGGAAAGACCCTGTTTTCTTTTCCTTTTCCTTCCACATCGTGAAATCACCCATTTTTAACTTGTCTCTCCAAGAGGGTCAGAACATCAGAGAAGGGCAGGGAGAGATAACCAGATGCTACAAGGTTGGCTACAGGGTCTCCCACAAATGAAACCTCAGAAGGTAGAGGGCAAGAAGCTCCTGTGTGAAATCACATTGTGCCAAGTTCAAGGGAAGCAAGTTTTTGGCTCCTGCAGGAGAATTACGACACTGCTTGGAGAGTCAGTGCCTCTGCTTGCTGGGACATAGTGGCAGCTCATCAGCATCATCTCCAGAGAATGTCTCCAGAACAAGCTTCAGTAGATGGAAATACAGCTAAAGTGCCATCTAGTGGTAAAGCAGACTGGGCTGGTGGTGCCTCATGATGAACATGGGAATCACTGAGACCATTGCCTGGGATAAACTTGCTAAGAGGTTGACATCTCAAGAAAGGCAGAGATCAAATAACTTGACGATATTCACAGAGAAAGTCGCCTCTGGTCAGAGAACAAGATCTGCTCCCTGAGTGTCACATGGTGGGAGAGGAGGAAAGGCAAGTGTACAAAGAACAGAATGTCCACTGGAAATGTGGGATCCAAGGGAGGAACAGGCTCTGGGAGCAGAGAGTGGCTGAGTGGTAAGGGTGAAGTTAAGTCACATAACGGGGTCCTCAGGTCAGGAGAGAGAATGGAGGGTGGAGGTGCAGAAGGCTTGGGCAGAGGAGCTGGTGTTAATTCTCCTGGGGGCTTCCTGGGAGTGCAGATGACAGAGTGGGATTGTCTCATGGAAACCAAAGGAGTGAACACGCCTGTGGAGGGAGCAGCATCTTCAGGGACTCCCAGGACACCAGTGGCTTGGCTTTAGCAGTTGTTCCATGGCATGTCTTACAGGGGGTCCAGACAGATGGCTGATGAATGT